CCAAGATATTCTATTATTCAATTGAGTGTAATGGTGTGAAGTGTATATCACCTGGAGGGACATCACAAGCTTTGCTTTGTAGGTGTAGTGGGTGAATAAATATTCCAGCTGACTCCCTTCATAGTTGCCAGCATCAACATTTCATAGTGTGAACTAGTTTCATTTCCCTTTTGCCCAGTTGATCTTTTCTAAAGAGATTATAAACAACTTAATCAACATTCCTGTCATGTGTCATCCTATTAGGTTTCATTAATATCAACTAGTTCTAATGCATGGTTCTAAACAGGCAATTTCTATTCCTTGCATTTATTACCTGGCTTGTAATCTTGATACATAATCAATTTAGGAATTTCTGCACAGCATAGTCTGTCTCTATTATATGTTGACAACACCGAGAGTTTGAACAGTCTGAGCGTTTGGTGGTCCCTTCTTTTCAGACATTTCTGTTAATTGAAACCTCCCCTTGCATTTCCAGACAGCTCTGTCTTCTGCAGAAGTGGAGCTCTTCCAAGCCATACAGTTTTTTTGTTGCTCTAAAAAGCAAAAATTGTTTGTCTTATACCTCCCAGTTAAGCAGTATTTTCACTGTCAGGTCCTTGGATCTTCTGATTTCCTTCATTTTCCTCCAAGCAGACATCCCTCTCCCTCAGTCCCACTCAGAGTGTAAATTTTATACAGTTAGATCATGAATCAGTGCAGCAATGTCTTCTGTTTTCAGGAGGTATTGTTCTTTGTGCTGTGGTTCCACTGTCAGTTCACCATTTTGGTGCCAGCCTGTCCTTTGTAGGATATTTTCCCTCCTATTCTCCAAGCAACAGGAGCTGATCTTCCTTCCTAGTTTTGTCTTTTCCTGCTTCTTCCAAGTACCCAGTGAGGGGGATGCTCTCTGCCTTTCACTGTCCCAGTACACAAAATTCCTTAGACCTCACTTGAGGAAATAGCAAGAAGGCTGTGCACTATATTTACTTATCAATCATCAACTGAACAACTTCTAAAGCAAAATCCTTCCCCAGTGAATGGATCTTTTTTCTTGCTATATGTCCAGTTCCTGCATTTGAAGTCTTAGAACCCAGCTAAAGCTTTCCCAGGTAAAGGAGGCTGCTGTCTTGTGGGAACAACTTTGCAGTTCTCTGAAGTCATGCACACAGGAAAGGAAAAACATATGTGAAATCATCAAGGAATCAGGAGAAGTAACTGCCTCTTACAACTATAAGAACCTTTTAAAGAATAAAAAGTCTTTATTTTCCCTTTATTAAAAAAAATTAAAAGACCTACATACTACCTTCCTTTTTCAACTCTACATGTGGGCTGTGAGTTCCTGATGATTTTTAGACCAACATCACAACTGCAGAACACAACTACTGTTATTAATGCCAAGCAGAGACTACTAATACAAGGCTGTTCTTTAAACTATGCTCTCCTTTTTCACTCAGAAACAGAAACAAAGCCAATAGAGAGCACGAAACATCACCATCACTTCTGAGAGCCCCATTCAAGTAATTTGATTCACACATTTTGTTGCTTTCCATCTCCCAGCTTTGAGCTTCTTTTGTTGTTTCTAATAGATAACACCAGCTTCAAAGTTTGGAGGAACTGTTCTTTTTTTTGCCAGTGTTGTCCTTTTTTTCCTTTATTCCTTTAGAAAATGTTGATTTTTCAAAATTGTTTTTGCAAGTTAAAAGGGACTGCTTTAACAAAGCACATTCAGGATCCAAGAGAGACAGGTGTCTTGAGCTGTGGCATCCTGAGTTCATGGAGAGATGGAAGGACCCTGTCCTGACCAACAAACACAGCTGCACCCTTTTCCCCTCCATCCACACAGCCTTGTGGATGGCAGAGAAAGTCCTACTACTCTGATTAAAATCTGTGCACTAAAAGCTCTTGTACCATTATTTTAAGGGATGGCATAAGCTTGGTAGCAATTGGATTAAAAGAAATTAAGAAATCCTCTGCTTTTAACTCAGAAGAGGGCACAAAATTTTGGAGTTTGCGAGTGCTCGGTGGCTCCAGCTGTCGTGCAAGCAGCTCAGTGTTGACTCCAGTGCAAACACACAGAGCTGCAGGTAGCTGATGAAGTGTCTTCATCATTGTTTGCTGAGAGCCTTGTCTATATTTTCATGATTTATTACTTCCCCAACTTTCTTAGGTGTTAGAAAGAACAATGAATCAATCCAAGCATTTTCAGAGTGGGGGCTGCTAATTGAATGAGCTCTGTTTACCACTCGAGAGCTGCAGTTTTGACAAGTCTCTTGACCCCATGTTAATACACATGATTAATTATTGTTAAGGGTGTCTGCAGAAACGAACTGGATAGGTAACTCTTCAGAGCTTTTCTTTCTTTCTGAACAAGCAATAAACATAATAATGTTTACACTGCTGGAACAGGTGGGGAAAGAAGGTGCTTTTGAAGGCTTGGGGGTAAACCCATGGCTGCTGCTCAGAGATGGGCGTCCAGAGAGCACAGGAGTTATCCCCAGGCTCATCCCAAGCAGAAGGACCCGTGTCCTTTTCCTACACCACTCCTGGCTTGTTGCAGGTCTTTGAGGCTAATGCTGCAAGGAGTTCAGTTTTGTCTGTGGGCTCAAAAATAAGGCCAGGATAGGTTGACCCTCACCCTTGGGGAGCCCCAAAGAGATATCCAGAGTGGGATGTCCATGGCAAGATGCTTCTCAGGAAGCCTCAATGTGAGTGCTGTGGAATGGCAGGGAGTGACCATGGGAAGCACAGGAGCTGGTGACAAAGGCAACATAATCAGCAGCTGACACAGTGAAGCAGCATTTTAAAATACCACATAACAGATGCAACCAGAATGGCTGTTCCATACAACACCCTTAGAAAATAGTAGAAAAAAATAGAAATTCAGGTTTAATTGCCTGCATTAAACTGATTTATCCTGCATAATTTTATTATTTCTAGAAAATTTGGCCCAGATGATCATGGTGGGAGGTAAAGTTGGTAGGAGACCCTGAAATTTGGCACTGTGGGTTACTACACAGCACAGAGGACAGAATCTCTGTCTGCACAAAGGCCTTCTCAGCACGCTGGAGGTGCAGGGCCGTGCAGGACCTCACCTTTCTGCTTTCTGTCCCTTGTGTTTCAGCACGGCAGCAGCACCACCAGGCTGAAAGAGAAACCCAGGACAAGCCTCTCTGAAGTTCACAGCACCGTGGCCACGTGGCTCTGTGCCCTGCAGAGGTACAGATGGAATTCCCATGTCCCCTCCAGTTTCATCCCCACCCGCCCCAGGCAGCAATCCCAACAGGACACATGCAGCCATTTCTTTGTGGACAAGGGAGCACTCGTTGTGAGAGGGCACCTCAGCACCCTTTGAGACCCCTTCTCACCTTTCCAGTGGCCTCTGTGCACAGGTTTGTACCACCAATCTTGATATCTTCTAGTTTTTCTAATTTGCACTTGTCAGTGAGCTGGGCTAGTTCTAGCTCCCACAGCCAGGCTCTAACTGCAGAGAGGAAGGGGAACTTGAGGAACATGAGGGAACATGTTTATAGCAAGCAGCATTTTTCCATCTGGCCTGCTCAAGTTGCTTACTCCATTCAGAACACAGAAAGAATGAGGGGATAAATATAATGAGAGTGCTGGAAACTATTGTAAATGCAGGTGAATCCAATGGGAAGAAATGACGATGTCTGACTCAATTCAGAAGGTTGAATGATTTCTTTATTATAACTATGCTAAAATACATCAATATACTATAGAAAAAGGAGGATACTAAAACTACATACTACTTTCTCTGACTCTCACCCAACTCGTGACCCTCTCTGAGAGTCCAGCCCCAGGTGGGTTGGATTGGCCATCAGGCTCAAACAATCCTCACCTGAATCCAATCAAGCACTCACCCCAGGTAACCAATTCTCCAAACACATTCCACATGGGAAAAACAAGGAGCAGAAATAGAAATTGTTTTCTCTTTCATTTCTCTCTGTGAACCTCTATGAAAAATCCTGAGAGGGAGAGAAATGTGCTTGCCACAGGAAACAGCCAGCCTGTCTGCATCGTTGTTCCCCATGGCCATCCCCCTGTCCCCAAGGCCATGCAGAGGCAAGACCAGAGCTCTGAGGGGAGAATAGGCTCTTTTTTTTGCAAGAAGCATCTGTCTGCTAACAGTCTGGGTGAGAGCAAAGAGCACGAGGGCATGGTGTGCCCAGACCCAGTGACACGTGGTGGGGTTAATTGCTCTGCTCAGTTTTAGTGTCATGTTCTGGAGAGGGAATACACTTCACTGGGCAGGGGGAAAGAATGCCGACCAATTTGTGCAGAAGAAAAGCCTGCTCCTTTCATCTATTTGAAAGCTTTTGTACATCAAAGTCCTGGCCAGAAGAGCTATCGCTGATATAATTGGTGTAGACAATTGCGAAGGTTTTGATAAAGACATTTGTGGAAGAGCTATTCATGGGGGGCAAACAAGGGTCATGGTTTGGGGAGCAGCTCAGAAACAAAAAACCCCAAAAGCAGGATGAAGAGGCTGCACAAATGTCACACAGCTCCTTATCCCAGACAGCAGCACCCTCAGCTCCCTACATGTGGTGGATGAGGTGCCCTCCAGCAGCAGAGCCCAGCCAGGGATGATGAGGACTTCCAAGGGCATCACCAAAGCCGGGGGAACAGGTCAGAGTGGGGGAAGAAGATCCCCACCACAGACACAGCTTGGGTAAGGCTCCCTGAGAGGAAGGTGGGGTGGTTATGGTAAGTCCAGATCAGTTCTCACCTCCTGAAGAGAAAACTGAGCTAGGGCCATGGGCAGCTCACTACAGTGGTCCACTGGGGATTACAAATATATGCTATTATTCCAAAAACGCCTAAAAAAATGAAGATACTGGATAAAACTCAGGGGAGAAAGTAGGAGGGAACTGTGTCTAAATGGTCAGATAGGAAGGAAGAGGAGGTCCTCTTCTGGCACTGCTGCCTCTCACCAACTCCCAGGTGACACATCAAAAAGAGAGCATTTCTGAGATAGGAAAGTAAGCGAGTTAGAAATAGAGTCTAGCTAGAACTGAAATTATTTTTATTTCTAGATGAACTGAGTAAAAAGCAACATAATGGCCAATATACAAAATAACAAATGGCACAAAAGAGGTGCATATAAGTACTCCTATTTTCACTTTTCACATAAAAAGAGAACAAAGGGACAGTCAATAAACCCAAGCAGCAGCACACGTACAAGGATAAGTGAAATATTGTTGTTCTAATGCACTATGCATAATCATCCAGGGTGCTCCCTGTTCCAAAACATCACTAAAATGGCAGATGCAGAGAGACTTGCAAGAAAGGGACACGAATGTACCTGAAAGGAAAGATCCTTCGCAGTTATATTTGCTCTGTGTGAGTTACTTGAGCAAAAAGCAATAATATGGCTTTTAAGAGAGAAATTTTCACACAAACAGCAATAAATGGGATGGGGGCAAAGGTCCCCTGGGCAGATTATTCCAAAAATTGCCTTCTAAGGGATGTCTCACTCCTCCTTCCTCTGAAGTATTTGCCTGGACTGTAGGCAGCAGTCAGTGACTGGAAAAGACAAACCACTTCTTGTCTCCTCTGGCTCCCCACTACAGCAAGACCAGAGCACCATCCCACCTGCTGTGTCCCCAGCATTACCCTGAGACAGGGTTTTTCATCCTTCCTGGAGCACCAAAAGCAGCTGCTTGGGTGGGTGCTGAGTTCCAGCCTGCTCCTTCTTTCTAGTCAAGGAACATTTCACATCCTCAGCCGTATGTGACTGAGAGAGGTAAAAATAATCTTGTCATCTTTTTTTTTCCCCCATTGACGTGCAGTGATATCTCCCCTATTCATTGCTGAAATGAAGCAGAATTAATCTCAGCCAACAATTCTGCCTGGTGATGGGAATGCACATTTTAGTGATACACATCAGCACACCTTCCTTCAGGAGCACTGCTACCTGGATAAATATCAGAGAAGGTCAGCAAAGGGGAGGTGGGGCAGGAAATTACTTGAGAGGTCACCCCAAATTTAAATAGAGCTGACAACTGCACAGCTGGATTTGTGAAAATCTTCCTTTTCATGGCCTCCCTTATCTGAGGTAGACCAGAAACTCAGGTCTTTCTGTGCCCACAAAAAATATTCACCTGGCCTTAACCTCCCTCTCTGTGATGTGTCCTGATACCCAACCCAGAGCAGGAACTCTCCTTCCCCCAAATGCTGCCCACTCCCAAAGGTTGGCATCCCAGTTCCTGACCTCTCCGGAGCTGTGCTGCAGCACTCCCACAGTAGCTTTTCCCTGCCTCCCAGGCACACCTGGTACACTCTTCCACCAAAATACTTCCATTGCAGGCAGTGGTTCCTGTTTTCCCCTCTCTTTGCAACCCCAACCTCGAGCTCGTTACCCACTGCAGGAGATGTGGTGGCTGAAAGCTGGGGAACAAGGCAGGTCACCCTCTGCTGACCCCCTTCCATAACAACTTTAATGTCCCACAGCCTGCCCTCTACCCCTGGAGAAGAGAGCAGTCATTCCAACATGGAGCTGATCACATGAACTGCACATTAACAGACCTTATATTTTGTTGTGTGTTGTTTTGGTTTTTTTAAGACTTTATTCATCTAACATGCTTGACCAAAAATTACAACACTCAAGTTATGCCAAAATGATTAAATAATCTTTAAGCTTTCATACCTCAAGTACTTTAAATGATATTCTGAAGTAACAGTTGCTTTCATATCCTTTCCACATAAAAATACACAGTATTTGGAAGATACCTTAGGAAAAATTATTTTTAAGAGAATATTTTATGGTTGACATAGAAATTTTGCTGAGGCTAATAAAAGGACCTCTTCCCTTCACTTTAACATTTAAGTGCCATGAGTGAATGTAAACATTTCAGACTTTAACATACAGCCAATTTCCTGCCACATTTGTTGCAAACCACTTGAATTGTGACTAGACAAGCCACTTTTATTCTAACTACATGTTATTGTTCATCTTCCCAATGATGGCAGGAGCTCATATTCAACTATGAATTTCAGTTCTTACTGATTGAGAAGCTGATCCTGAAATTTCTACACCAGTAGCTCTGACCAAAATTGCCCCATCTGAATTAATGGCAGACTGCCCACCTTGCTCAGAGTCGAAGTTCACATGGCCTGGTTTTGCAACACAGGTATTTGAAATTGTTTATTTGTATAATGTACATGCAGCTGCTACAAAAGACTCACATTTACATCCATGTAACACACACAATTCTCCAATGCATGTGTGCAGGTGTGGGCTATGCACAGACCTGCAACCAGCTCTGAGCTGGCAGTGCTGTGGTGTGCCCAATGTGTGTGAACAAGATTAATGTCTAGATGCTGTCCCAAAATTCAGGATGCCCACATTCAGAATACAGCAGTTAAATTATCTCCATCAAGTCAAAAGGACATGTTTGTTAGTTCAAGGCAGAAATCTATTTCTTGCAGGACATGTCTGAAGCCCTGGGGTTTTTTTGGTGGCTTTGTAATCAATTCTTAAGCTTCTGCCTAGGACAGGAATAAAATCCCAGCAGCTTCAATACCTCTGCTAGAACTGCAGGAGAGCTGCACAGGCAGTGCTGTGGCTGAGGAGCATCCCAACCAGCTCCTGACACATCCCCTGCTTTGCCAGGTACCAAAAGCAACACAACAGATGGGTTTCTACTGGGTTTGTGCTGGGCCTCTCTCAGAAGTGTCCATGAGTGGGCAAACAGCAGTACCAGGTCCCCTGAGGTGACCTCTGCTCTGCACACTTGGGTGTGCACCCACCACTCACAGCCACCCAAAAGCGAGTGCCTCAGCTACACCTTGGGTTGATGCCTTCCCCTTGACATCCATGTTTCCCAAGGACAAAATGATCACAATGACTTTTAACCACTCCTGACCAGGGCCAAATTCAAACCAGTAATCTCATCATTGGCTGCATATCCCATTAGCAATTTTTAAACCAGTGGTCCCAGTGGGTTTTATTTAAAATGCCATTACTAATCATTCGGTGAGCTCTTTGCATTTTCTTTCTTTTTTCCTTAAATACAATAACATATCGCTTTACAAAAACACAGTTATATTTTTTCTTCTTTTTTTTTTTTTTTAAGGGAAATGTCATCTTTTTTTTTTAACAGGCGAGGCCAGGTTACAAATTCCTGAGTTTATACTGCACTTAACACAGTCTCCCTTCTTGAATGTTGAGCTGTTTACAGCATGCTGGCAATATGCACCATTTCCCTTGCCATCTGTAATGCCAGATGTAGTAAAACTTCATTTCAGTACAGTGAATTAGGGCCTGTATTGCATTGGTTTTGAATAAATGCAAAGACTTAGACCTGGAGGACTTGTAGAAATAGCTTTCTTCCTGTGACTGTCATTTGTGCATCATCTTTTATATTTGCCATGTTGATTATGGGAAAACATCTCTACCATCATTTTTATTTTAATAAGAGCTCACTGAAAAACATCTGAAATGAGGAAGTCCTAGTCTAAACACTTACGTTTAAACTGCAAACTTTCTTAAAGAAACACTCCTTTGAAAGACATTGTTCTTTTAATAAGTCCAGTATACGGTATGTACAAAAGCCCCTACTAGAGATATATATATATATATATATATATGCGTATATACATATATATATATGTGTGTGTGTGTGGAATGCACTCACTTTTCTGTGTTCACAAATATTTTAATGGTGAAATGTTAGTCTTTAATCTGTTTCTGGCACCAAAATGTCTTTATTCCTTGTCCATTTTTGTTACTCTAAATTTTTCTGTGAAGAGCTAGCAGGGAAAAAAATAAGGATTTTGCTTTTTTTGTTGAATGGTTCCCTATTGGGATTCTCAGCCAGCAATATAAAGTTGCTTATGTGTTGGGTACAACTTTAAATCCTCATTATAATCATGTGTTCCTTGGAGTAGGTAAGTCAATAACTATAGGCGGATTAAGTGGCTGGTAATTCACAGTGCACACAGATGCATTCACATAGGTGGTGGTTCCATCAGCCATGACACCATAACCTAAAAAGAAAGAAAAATTCTCGTTACTCTCATTATTCCTTATTATCTTCTTTCATTTTTAATTGCCTTTATCACACAATGATAAGTGCCACATTTTTTATTACTCAAAAGGAATTTAAAAATTATCTTTGTTCAAAACATAAATGTTCCCTGAATCAAGACCATCTTTGTCCTACAGAAGAACTTTTTAAATTGTGTAAGAAAAGCAAAATGGGGCCTCAGTAGCTGGTGGCTATTATCTCTGGCAGCCAGCACTCAACCTCCTTAGAAAGACAGATACTTTTCTCAACAGAGATTTTTCACTTAAAACCTTTTTAATTTTGGAAAGGATGCTTGTGATCGTTTAGGCTTGCTGTCATCAGTGGAGCAAACTTTGGCCAATTTTAATCTTCCCACCTTTTCTTTTCCTGCCCTGTGTTGAACATCCTTTAAGCAAGAAAGCAAGAAAAAGCATTGCTTGACTGAGGCAAGTACGTGTGCATGTCCATCTGGGCAGGATTTGCCTAGTTGGAACCTCTTCTAGCTATGTCTTTGAACTTGTTGGCCAATCTTCATGGAAAGGCATTAAAATGCCTGCCCAGGCTGAGAAAAAAATGGCTTTATTATTGAATGCATTGTCTAACAGACAAGGTGAAATAAAACCCAGAACATTTCCACAGGAGAACACACACATCTGTGTGTCTCACCAGCAGTGAAACAGCTTCAGCTACATCTCATGTCTTGCTAGACATCCAAGGCAAACAATTCCAGAGTTAAATCTGCAGAAAACAAAACTTCTAATTCCTGCAGAAGTACAGTGAAATGCTGTTTCAGAAAGTGAGGAAGAAGCCCTTTGACAGCCTTGGTGTTATGAAAGAGAAGACACACTCTCCGTTGTCAAAAATCTTTTAGTGAATCACTAGGAAAAAACATAATCTTGATCATATGAAGGCTAAAAGCTTAATGTTAAACTTTCACTGAAATATTATGATCAATATGAAGAACTGCATTCATCGTCAGAAATACGTGATTTTGGGGAAATCACCTGGTAGAAAGCATTTGTACTAAGATTCAATCTCACATTTCATAAAGTTAATAGTGAAATGTATTCATTGCTATTTAAACCCCAGATACTGAGGACCCTACGTTTTTTTCTGAATGCAATTTTGTGTCTTTCAGAGCACCGAAAATTGCATAATTTGCAAACAAAGAAACAGTAGCCAAATCCCTTTCTCTTTGGTTCCTTACAACACCCTGAATAATGCAGGGCCTTCTGCACCTCTCATAGAAAAAACACACTATAATTAGGGCCCAGGGAGGGAAGAAAACTCTGTCAGGTTCCTGTCACAGGCATTTCTTTAAATCCCTTTCTATTTGCCACAGAACGACTGTTCTGAGGAAAACACAAAAACGCACACAGGACAGTCAGCACCACAGCTGGGACTTTGTGTCTCCTCAGCTCCACATTTGGAGAAAGCAGACACTCTCTTTTTCCTGGAAGATTCATTATGCTGCAGCTTTCACTCTTGTCCCACTGCCAGCAGAGTTTCCTTGGCCATGACCTCAGTGGAGTACTGGCTATACTGGGAAAACCAGAATTTCAGCCAGAGCCCCTGCCATGCTGCTTGTCCCTTCCATGGGTGGATCAGCAGCAAGCCCATGTGCAGAGGTATTTTTTGGCAGACATGGCAGTGCAGAGAGGGAATAGGGTAGAAACATCTCTTAGAAGCACCTCTTCCCCCTAGATGTTCAGTAAATGACTGCTGCAGATGTAGCTATGCTCACTCCGAGGAAGAACTCATCTGTTCAAATCATGAATTCTCTCTACAAAGTGCAGCTTCGTTTGCACAGGCTGCCTGCAATGGGAATTCTCCTCTGCAGAGATTTAGCATCCCACTGAAAAACAAGCTCTGCAGTTCCCCATTTGTTTTCTCTAAATTATGATAGTTAACAAGAAGAGTACCTTGTTTCTGTGTTTTGATACCTACTGTGCCAACTACATTAATTCACAGGATTTACTATTCTATGGAGGTGCTATTCTCTTCCCTTGAGAGCCAAAGTTGGACTTGGTTTTAGCAGATGTGATTTTGTTTACCTGCCTGAAGCTTCATGGCTTGCTGTTTGCTTATATCCCCTGCAACCCTCTTGGCTTATAATTTCTGAAATGACAATGAGTTTGAACCATATTCACCAGCTCTCTTGCTTGGAATATCAAAGACTGCTCTAGCAGCATTATTTGTTTACTCTGTGATTTAAAAACACTTTGGACATTAACCAGGCATTAACAGGTCACTGCAGATGAGACACATGAGGAGAATGGACTTAATCCTTGAGCTATGAAATAATGATCTGAACATCTTATCCATTAATTTTACAACAGTTATTGTACAATCTTGAAGATCAAGCCTTAGAAGCACCCCTCAGAACATTCCTACCCCTTTTACAACCACAGAAGCTGACACACAGAGATCTTACTTGATTTTTTTTGAGGCCCGGTTTTTGTTGGGGAAAAAAAAATTCCTCCATCCTAATATTTAGTCACTTTCTGTAACTGCTGGACTTGTATTCTTATTTTAAAATTCACATTAAAGTACTCATCCCTGTGAAGGGAACATCAGCCTGTTTTATAGATGTAGAAAATGAAAGATAAGCTCAAGTACAAGTATTGAAATGTGGATATCAGCCAATTTCACCTCTATATATACAGCTAAATATGTATGTGAATTCAAGAAGTGCTTCAGTTCAGACATTCAAGTTTGAAAATGCTGGTTAAGCCTTCTCTGTTTGCCATTTCTAAATAAATATATATAAAAAGACGTGTTCTAACCTTCATGGATATGTCCAAAAACATGAAGCCTTGGCTGTATTCGTCTCTGGACTGTGTTCAGCAGCTCAACACATCCTACTCGTTGCATTTTCTTAGGGACCCAGTCTAGAAAACCTTTGGAAAAGAAAGGAAAGCTTAAGAGAAGACAGGTAATCCACAAAGCTGTGCTGTTATACATAATTTTGGAGATTTCTGTCTCATGGCTTTTTACAAAGAGCCACAGAAGAATTTAAATGGCAAAAACTGTGTCTGCCTTGGTATGCAGAAGAGGAAGGAAACAAAAATACTGGCCGAAAACCATAAAAGCTCATCTGGATAAAAAGGACTATGATAACTCTTTCCATTTTTTTTCAAAGAATAAAAATAATCACTGCAATCAAAGCATTTTTTGCACTGTTAATGGGATAACTCGATGCTTTACCCCTTTTTCTTCCTGAAGAGAATGAGGTGTAAAGTGCAGTAAATTCAAAGGGAGCCTTTAAAGATTTTAAAAGAAAATTTAACATTTAACTATTTAAAATCAGTCCTGGGACCTACTTTTCTGATTGAACACTTGAACCAACCTAATGGAATCTGTGCTGCCAATACTACAGCTATATTGTCATCACATTGAATCCTACAGTAGTGGAGCTCAGGTGAGGAATCCACTACATGCCCAAAAAGTGACATCCTCGAGTTAAACTACTTCATGGCACAGCAAGCCCTGCTTCCTAAAACTGATGGATCTCAGATGGGAAGAGAAACTCAGGTCTTTTGCAGAAGATAAATATTTAAGTGCTGCATTTATTTGCACAAAAATTGTGTAAAAATTTATTTCTTACAAAAATAGACAGAAATGTTACATCAACTTGCCTCTTTGTCTAAAAATACTGCAGGGGGAAGTTTACTGCCAATTGAAGTCCATGTTTCTTTCCAAGTAGTAGTATAAGGAGGATGTTGTATTGGAGTGTTTGCAACAATCAATCTGTTTTCTCTCTATTGTTCAGTCATTTTCATCAGGCTCAGTTTTGGAAACCTAGAAGATAAAATCTTCCTGGTTTTATTTTGTTGTTCTGACATTTTCCCTGTGCGCCTGTCATAGCTTTGCATCTCTTGGATTTTCTGCAGTAGTGTGAATATATTGTGCTTTTAGCCAGAGGTACAGAGCCTGGACCTGGTTTTCATACATTTACTTTTGATGTCCACTCAAGCATGGCTAAGCAGCCAACCAACTGATTTAAAAGACCAGAAGTGTGGTATTCAAGCTCTTGGAAAAGCTCTCAGATTTGCTAGAGCTTCAGGGTAGGTTCACACATTGAGAAATACCTCTTTAGCTGCCAGTGCTTGAAAACTGGGCTCAGTAAACTGTGAGGTTTTACCGAAATGGCAAAAGTTTGCACTTGTTTCATAGCTACTGAGAGAGCTAAGTTCAATTTTCAGATTAAAAAAGGCCAGGAATGGGGCATCCTAAGTGCTAAAAAGAGGAAGTTCTGATCATGATCAAAGACCTGGAGGTGCTGTTTGGTACCTGTCAGGGAATGTAGAAAAAGAAAGCCCTGCTGACCTACAGCCAGGCTGAGCAATGCTCACTCCTGCTGAATTCACATGTGCCATCGAAGGGAGGTCAAAATTCACCAGAGAAAAACAGTATTTATGATGTCAAAGTGAGGCCAGCCATTCCTCTGGAATAAAGTCGTGTTTGGAGGTTTTTTTCCCAGGGTAAACATATTATAGCCATAGGTTTTATTACTTCAATGATTTGAAATAGTTAATTGTCAAAATGTCTGCAGTGAACATAGAGCCAAAAGTATTTCCACTTCAAAAACTTCACAAACAAAAATCCATAAAATTAACTTCTCCATTAAATTAAGCATTATTTATGTTGAACATGTTTTTGTTTACATGCATTATCACCCTTCTGAAGCCTTCCCATATGTTTGCAGCTTATTATGTACACCTGACTACACAGACTAAGAATAATTGATTACACCTAGCTAACAATTAGAGTTCATCTGAGGGGTTTTTTAATGTTTGGTTACTTGAAACAGGTTTCTGCAGCTGTCAGGAAAGTATAAATCTTTGCCACAGACTATCAAGCAGACAGCTGCAAATGAAGACTTAAAGGTGAAATTAAATTAAAATCAAAGAAAAGAAAGTGAACTTTTGGAAGAGAAATAAAAGAATCATAAATTGAGGTCTTTAGGAAAGAAAAATATGCTGATATGGAAATGAGCATTAACACTGATCCCATAATCACAAATTCTACATTTCATAAGCTATGAAAGACATTGCATATCTTTGTTAATACTAATAAACAGGTTACTAATAAAATGGTCAAAAATAGCTGTTTTAACCCTTTTTCCCCCATCCTGTGTGAACCTCCCATCTATCCCTGCTCTGGTTTAATCCCAAAGCACTACTCTAAAACAGAAGAGAAAAATTATTCGGATTTTTGTTATGTGACTAAATGAAAAACAAAGTTCATTAACTCTTAGTGGTGTTTCTGCAGCTAAATAAGACCATTTCAAATCTATGTAATAATGTAGTATTAATTAATTCAGGAGGATGCACACTCTTGAAGTGAGGAAATCTGAGAGCAGCACAGAAAATGGATGATGGGCAGAATTTAGGCAGCCATGCTAAAGAAAAAACCCCAGAATTTGCAAGAGGACTGATTGCTATTTGTGATCATCAGAAACAACTCTACTGAGGTTCTGAATTCCAAGATCAGAATAACAGGAATCAGCTTTCTGATTAAAATAATTGGCTGGGAGGTTCAAGGAGGATGCTGTCTCCCAAAGGATCTTGGACAGAGCTGCACAATGAGGTGGTTTTGTAAGTTAAGCAGAGTGTTAAGTTCTTTGAAGTGTCATATATTTGTTGCCATGGGTGTCAGGGAGACCAACAGCTCCTGCCCTCAGGCAGAGGGTTCTGTGCTTGAGCCATCTATTAATGCATCAATAAGAGAAAGACAAAGAAACAGGAACTTCTGGAAAAAAAAAATAAAAAGGAAATTCTTGGGGGATGATTGAAGGTAAAGAATTTAAAAAAAAAAAAAAAAAGGAACACATACTGAGCCATGGAGATGGGGGGAATTCACATTACTCTGTTACAATCACTGGAGATGGGTGGCCCTTCCTCAGAATCACTGCAATTATTAATTTACTTTTCAATTATTAAATTTGCAATTAAATTTATTACTGAAATCTGTCTGTTGAGTGCCAGCTCTGCAGTGCTCTTTAGGGGTCCTCCTCCCTCTGCTGATGCCTGAGGCTACTGGAGAGGCCTGGTGGCTAAAGCAGCAAGGTGGCTGAATCTTTCCACTTTCTAATATGAGATTTCAAGTGAATCTTCAGTCAGCTGAAGGTTGGATTGTTTAACAGCTGGCCAGCTGGCTTTAAAAGGGGTTTTCAAAGTGCTGAAAAAGCTTCTGGAAAAGTTTTAAATATGACTTATAAATAAAACTACATGAAAGACACAGCATTGTGGCTTGGACCCTAGCAGGGATTACCCCCATACCAATGGCTTGGAGCAGATATCTCGGGGCTGAAACACTTAATTTCTGACATCCACTTTTACAATCCAGGCTCATATTAAAATCAGTCCATGGTATGGCATGAGACTCCACTTAGGTGAAGAATCAAAACACACACCCCTAACTGTGAGAAACTCTGCTCACAAAGAACTACTTTCCCCCAGGATTAGTGAGCAGTGGAATGCAAACATGTCTTTCTAAAGAAAACAAAACACAAACCCTTTAGATACTTTCTCCTCCAAGCTCTGAAAGAGAAGAAAGGGTGGAAGATGAGGGGTTTAGCTTCAGGAAATTGGGGAATCTAAAGGTTTAAAGAAACCAACTGCCTTCATTTCACTCAAAGCACAGTAAGGCTCAGCAGAACACTTGAGTATATGCTTCTTGTTCAAGTCCATTTATTAAATTAGTGAGAGTCAAACACACAGTCACATTGAATATAGACTGCTATATGTTAAATGCATTGAAAAAAAGCTTAAAAGCCTTAAGCCTTTACTGAATCTGGACAACTTTACATGATTGTATTATTTGTGTAGTAAAGGTAATGTCAACATTTTCTAGGAGTACAAGAAATCTCTTATAGATAGGTGGCTTTTATATTACCTATATTAATAATAATTGGAAAATGCACATGCAAAACTATTTCTTTTTGATCTGTTCATGTTGCCAAATTGTATTAAAGATAAGCAATTCAACCATCCTGTCCAAAGAACAGGCAAACAATGGGGAGCATCTGGGTGTGTGAGGCAGAAGGTGCACCAAGTCAGCATGATGAGGCAAAAAAGAGATTCTGGGTAATCATTGGTGGGGGAATGCAATAGCAAGTCAGGAAGAAAGTGATAAAAAATAAAATCCTAATCCTGCATTTCTCTTCAAACAGGCTCCATGCTTTCAATCTAGTAATTTCACCAATGGCAAATTAGAGATGTGCATAGGAAAACTAGACCCTGCTTATTTGTAAAGCATATTATGGCTTTATGTGTGAACATTTTTATTTTTAAAGCCATTATTTAATTCCCTGCCATTGAGCAGAGATATCATAAGTAATCATGAGCTGAAGTCTTGGTGCTGCTGAAATCAGTATGCATGTTGCTTTTGACTTTTGTAAATCAGGATTGTACTCTTTTTCTAAGGAGAGCCATCAGTTACCATATAATCATCTGAAATACACATCTAAGAGCACTATTATTTTCTTACCGAGAGGTGGTCCATGTGTTATAAGAATATCTATTCCATCTGGAATAAGGTTCCATTTCTCTAATAGTGCTTGGCCTCGTGGAAGATTAAAGCCCCAGCCATAAAACCAAGGTTGCCTGCCAAGAGAGGAGGAGAATGTCTTCAGTGCTACTTCCATGTACTGGTTATCTAATTAAAATACTGAGGTTGACTCTTTACTACCATGGAATTTGAAGACACAAATAGCATTCATTTTCTTCTTTGTGTGCACAGTAATCCCCTTTTTCCATACAAGCAGTGCAGTTTAACTTGTATGGCAAACACGAGCAGTCCTCCCCGCTTTCAGTAGACAGCATAGAGTAAAATATTCACAGTATTGCTGCAACTACTTACAAGCCCTGGATACCAAGATCTCCATGTGTGGATTATCACGCTGACTCTCACAACTTTTAGAAGAACAGCTGTCCCAGACACCTCCACGTGATTTATACTTCACATTGGCTCCCAGCATCTTTGGCCCTTAGCCTATGACCAGCTGGGCAAGGACAGACCCTGGCACCATGACAGATCCTGCTCCAAAGTCAGAGACATCGTCTCTGCTGCTTTGTTTCCCTAATTGGATACATCCCATCAGAACAAGAATCCTGCTGCCTCTCTTACACACAAATTTCTTCTGTCCTCTGGTGTGCTGACTTGCTTTTAAGTAAGACTTTCCATACTCGGGATTCCTTATCAGACAGACATTTACATTTCTTAAAATGTACTCATGGAGCAGCTCATCATGGAGCAGTGGGACTGTAACACTGCCAGTCAGAACATAATTTATCAGTATCTTGCTATCCCATTGATTAAAAAACTATATTTCACAGCAATTATATCACAGTGTTAAATTATGTCTTGCTGACTAGGCTCCAATTTTAGGTCATAAAATTGAGGGGTTAGTTTTAGGCTGGAAGTTTTAATAATTTCTTGACTGACGTCCTGTGGCCATACCCATACTTGAAGAACAATGAACAAAAGGTTTTTCTTCCACAGACAAAAAGAGGCTCAACTACTGATGACTAAAAGGCTTTCTTTCTCATCCCCTGCCTCTTCATCACATGTCCTGGATAACCAGGGTCTTGAGAAACAGGTGTCCCAGGGGAAAAAAAAGGTGAAACTTGGGATATATATTTCTGCTATCTGGACCAGAAATATATATCCCAGCCTCCAGAAGCTGTGATGAGGGAGGTGACGAAGGTGTGTGAAGGACAGATGCCAGCAGTACTAGCAGTGAAGCACAAATCTTATTCTGAGTAACTTTGCTCAGGCCAAGACAGCTGGCTGAGTAAAAGACACATCCCTACATCAGGCCACAAACTCACACTTTTCTGGTTACCTGTTCAGCATTCCAAGCTGCCTTTCTTTACCTTCCTCCTGCCAGGGTCTAGAGAGAGGCTCAGGGGAGACCTTATTTCTCCAAAGCTTCCTGAAAGGAGGTTTTAGAAAGGTGGGAATTTGATCTCTTCTCCCAAGTAACAATAAATAGGAGAAGAGGAAATGGCCTAAAGTTGCACCAGGGGAGGCTTAGATTCGATATTGGGAACAATTCTTCACTGATAGGTCAAGTGGCTAAGTCACCATGTCTGGAAGCATTTAAAAGATGTGTAGATGTGGCACTTTGGGGACATGGTTTAGTGGCGTCAGGTTTATGGCTGGACTCGATCATCTCAGAGTCTTTTCCTAAACAATGATGGGATTCTCCTAACTGGCTTGTTGTGCAGCAAGGTACCAGCAATGTTACCATGTGACATTGCCACACAGCAACCACACAAGCTCTTTGCAGATGAATATGCCCCTCCTTACATTCAGCTCACCACTGAGATAAGGAAATTATTTTTACCATATAGGAATGCCTCAAAAATAAAAAAAAAAATGAACTTTGTGAGGTTCTTGGATATTACAGAAGTAGGAGGCTTCATAAAAATGTACAGTGGTTCGCTTTTTCTAAACTCTTCATCCTTTCCTGCCTTGGGACTGCATTCCACACCTAACAAGCCAAGTATTATTCTTCACCAAGATGAAAATACACAACTGTTGGGCAAATTGTCTGTAGGCCCAGGGCACGTTTTCCAGCACCAATATCTCACTGTCAAAATATTTGCAAGGGCAAATAGGTGGCAAAAGAAGTGTCAGCACAGTACATCATGTGTTGCATGTCACTGACAGTTTCAATGGATATGCTTGGGGTGGGCAGGGACAGGACTGTCACTAGGTTCCAAATGGGAAGAGAGAGCAGGCACCATTCCATAGGTGTGCCAGACACAGAAAAGAAACCAATGGGAAAGACCAGTGTTTGCCCAAGAATCACAGGTCAAAAACTCACAGAATAATTATTTCAAGACTACAGTGAAGCATTTTTCAAGAGAAATAATCATGACTGCCACAGGTCTCACCAGAAGTCAGCTTAATCCTGCTGAAATCCAGACTACAACAAACCACATAGGCAGCTGTGAGAGCCTCTGCCTGCCTCTACCAGGGCTGGACTACACATGGCCACTTTGTAAAATATCCCATTTCCCCTTATGAATAGGCATGATCTGCTTATTAAGACAAGAAGCACTTTCCCGTGTCCTTCCCTCCTCCCTCCCTCCCTCGCTCCCTTTGTGGTGACTGCAGCGGGGCTGGTAAGTTATGCATGCTGGAGCTGTTCTTTTGTGAAGGGGAGATGTTACAACTTGTGTGATTTGCCATTATGCTGTCTTTTGTGACAATCCTGAGATGGAAGGAAATGTCTGGAATATTTCTGGCAAAAAAAAAAAAAAAAAAAAAAAAAAAAAAAAGAAGAAAAAAAAAAGAAAAAAAAATATCTCAGGTCCAAGAAAGGATTCAGCGGAGGATGTTGGCATGCTTTACATTGGAGAGAAGAAAGACAAATCACACACTTCAGTGCCCCCACCCCCAAAAGCAAAAACCATCTTTATAAGCATATAGGGATTTTATAAATCCCCAAGCCCCTTCTTCTGGAAATTTATTACAAAACAGCTATCAAAGTTTCTGAGTAGGAAAAAAGCCTGCTTCTCTAACACCCAATATCCAGCCTATGACCTGGATATCATGCAAAAGCAACTTTGTCTAAAATTTGCCTTTATGATAGAACCTGAAAACAAAGTTAAATTCTTTATATTGAGTACTGAATTTCTGTATTCCCAGTTAGTGCTTACTCAGGAAAAGTGTAATTATTTTTATAATGTATTTTTCAATAACATTACATTTGACAAAGAAGATATTGTCATGTATGTTCTACAAGAGAAAAATCTACTATCATCAGAAAAAAAAAAAGAAACCAACCCAAGAAAAATTTATTTGGCAATTAAAGACATACATCATTAAGGTATTTCACCTTTGAAGTGAAGAACTCATCTGTAGAAATGTACTTTGATTTAGGTCTTACCTTTTCAAAGGGAACAGTTTTAGTGTCTCCAACACTCTACTGAAATTCAACCAGTTTATTATTTTGATAAGAATAATGATTGTCTACATGTAAGATTCAAGGGGGAAAATACATCAGAGGTGAATTTGTTTACAGCACAATTAACCTTATGTTTAAAACATTTGAGCAAGTTTTGCAGGCCAAATAATCTGTCACACAAAAAGGGCTGAATTATCAGAGTTTGTGCTAGAAATCGGATGTTGCTTTATGTACTGAATTTCTATCTTTCTGTTCTAAAGTAACCATTGGAATAATTTTCTTACAGAATGATAGTTGCTATGACAACCATAGCAAATTTTCCTTTTCTGAAACAGATGTCTCATTTAGTTGAAAATTAGAATGTGAAAAACCCATGGGAAAAATTAATTCAAACTTTAACAGAACACTGACTACAATGTAATCTCTTATAGGTTAACCCCTTAACATCTTTTTGCACTCCTATAGTAACCTTCTCATAAATTCTAATTAAACCAGTTTAACCTCCTAGAAATGACCTTCTTAGCTATCATTAGCACTTTAGTTGTCTTTGAAAGGATCATTTCTGTTATAATAGTAACAGAAAAAAAGTCATACTAAAAAAATAATGGTCAAACATATTACCACCCTAATTATTTATTAACTTTCTTTTTCTTTTATTCTGCTACTACAGGAAAGAGCTGACATGTAGTCCAAGAATTCCTTTGTCATTTAAATGGCACTTAACTTAGTTTTACATGTGATCTACTGCAAAAGGTGGGGATGCACCACACATATCTGACCTGTCCTTTATGTGAAAACTGAAGGTTTTTCATTTTCAAACCAGTGGTACCCATCTCAATCTGACAGGCATCTCAATCTACAAACAAGGGACACTTGACTGGGGGGAACTATCAATTCACCTGGATTTTTCTATTACAAGCAATGAAAGACTGAAATTTGATTCTTCATTGCTTTGATTCAATTTAAACCTTTTAACTCAAAGAATGGCTTCCTTCCTTTCCAGCTCAAGGGGACTCCTCACAGTACCTGGGCACCCCTGCAAACATTGTACCTCCTAATTTCTATTGTTTCCTATAAAAATCTTTTCTGTTTTTCTGCAGCTGAAAGGCAAGTTTTCTCACTAGAATTCCTTTGCTTACCAAATACATTTCAAAGGTTCACAAACACATGCAACTTGCTCCAGTCTTTTCTCCACAACAGTTGTCATTTTTCTCCTACAGGAAAATAAACAGATATTGGTTGGTGACTGTCAAGAAGCTCAGTGGGAAAAGAATGGACCAAATCACCTTTCTCAATCCTGTTCCTCTTCCTGAAAGAAGCAAATATTCCATATTTAGAAGACTGGACTGAAAGCCATACTGGTAGGAGTGACTGGTCAAAGGCCATGGAGCATGAAAAGCAGATCCTACAGTGGCAAACACAAGCAAAACTGCAACATATTCTGATTCCCAGCCCAAGAAAACTCCCTGCTGGACATTTAAGTCTAATTTTTCCTGGTCTTGATATCCTTTTACTATCACAATTAGCTACAGTCCTGTGAACATGGGTGTACAGTACTATCTACACTGCATACCTTCCCTGGTGTGCAAGTTCTTCAGGTGTTCATATTTTTACATTCCCCTCTACTGAATAAGCTGAAATTAACCAATCACTTCGTTTGCCTTTCTGGCCTTTCCTCAATAAGTA